AGGCGGTGTGACTCATGTCATGCTCATGTCTGACTGATGGTGTGTCCTCCTGTAGTGAGCTCGAGGGAGAGTAAACAGAGTAATGTTCATTTGCAGGTGAACTCTGTGATATCACGATATTGTTAAGGCTGCTGTGTGTCAGTGTGTGACTCTTCATCATCTGTCTTCAGGTATTCAGAGTGATGCTTCGTGAACATTCTTGATCATCTGAAACTCAATGCTGCAGTCAGATATTGTGCTGTGATCATGTCTTGAACACTGTGTTTCAGTCTCTTTAACTCGCCCAGTGCCAGTTTAGCCCATTATATTTCAGCACTGGGGTTGCCAGATGGTGGAAAACAGCGTATTTCATTCATTCAGTGAGGAAGGCTGTGAAAGCATGTGTCCGTGACTGAAATGCGCCCTCTGGTGGACAGTAGCAGACTCTGAAATGAGCTGCAGATTCAGAGTTCCACATGATTATTAATTGGCATATAATATAAATATTAGGAGTGTAAACATCAGGTGAGCAGGTCACACTGTAACCCGTGTCCTGACAGCACACTACATGAGGAGATGCGCAGTGATGAGCAGTTTGGCTGACAGAAATGTAAACACAGACATTCAGCAGCACAGAACAGAGCCGTCACTGCAGTCCAGCACACGCTGAGCTCTACACTCTAATGAACACACATTACAGCTCTTGAACATGAGTGATGTAGATGCTGGATCACTGCTGTGTGTTGGTTTGCAGTTCTGAAGTTCAGTTTCAGATGCTTTACTGTATTCTCCAGATCTGAGCTGAACTGTCTGCTGCTGCTGTCAGACTCACATTACTAGTGTTGAACACTGAATACAGCACATGAGCTGAGCGGATCAGTGTTCTGCTGTGAGGAATAGACTCTAGCCGTCTCTAATATGCACATTTCAGCTGTTGATCAGGATTAAAACTCCTCTAATATGGAGAATATTCCTTCTGTCACGAGCCGCGGTTTAAATCAGAACCAGACCAGGGTTAGCCTCACTCCTGGTGGTCCTCAATCTGGCAACCTGTGCTTGTGTGTGTGTGTGTGTTGATGTAGGAGTGCAATACCTAGCTCAGCCACTGGGTGTCAGTTTTACATACTGCACTTTAAAACATTACAATGATAACCATTTCAACAGCAACACTCGCGCACAATACACCGCTGATGCAGTCGACGCCTAGTGGCGTTTAAGAGCAGCGCACTTCTTTACTCTGTCAATAAAAGGCAGAGGGGCGTCTCCCGCGATTCTGGAACAAACACGGGTTCGTTGTGATCGGCCCCTAAGAGTGTGTGTGTGTGTGTTTGTGTATTCCGCACATTGGAGTGTGCAAGCATGTTCCTGGGGTCTATGAGTGTGCGCAGGAGTGTGTGTGTGTTACTCACGTTGGAGGGTGCGAGCATGTTCTCGGGGTCTATGAGTGTGCGCAGGAGCCCCATCAGCTGCACGGCTCCGCCCAGCTCAGGGTCTGAATCACAGATCATCTGCTTGATCACCACGTTAATCAGCAGCACGTCCTGCACACACACACACACACACTTATGAAGCTTTGTTTTTGTGAATTGTGGGGACCATTCCGCAGGTTTCCACGCTGCATCTTCATTGCACACACAGTTTAAACAGTTTTACCTGCTGAAGAAGCTCATTGTGTGATTGATCATGTGTTTGATAGGCACACATCACAATAATCAACAACAGTAGAGCTCCTGAATATCAGGAACACTGTGTGTGTGTGTGTGTGTGTGTGTGTGTGTGTGTGTGTGTGTGTTCAGCGTGACTCACATCATCAGCCTGCTGCGGCTCCTGCATCACGAACTCACGCACCATCGATGGACTGAACTCCACCAGGTAGGAGAAGATATCTGTGGCGGCGGCCTTCACCTGCACATCATCCATGCCCTGACACACACACACACACACACACACGTACATACTGTAAATACACTCGACTGTTAAACATGAGATCTGTTTTTCTAATGACAGCGAACAAGTGAGTGTGTGTGTGTGTGTGTGTGTGTGTGTGTGTGATCCACACACCATCACGATCTCCAGCGCCGGCAGGATGCCCAGATTGGCCAGAGTCTTGAAGAAGGCGTCTCTGTTCTGCGGCTGCAGCGTCTGCGAGAACGCACAGAACTCCTTGAAGAAGTTCACCTGTGTGAGAGACGGAGAGAGAGAGAGAGAGAGAGAGAGAGAGAGAGAGAGAGAGAGAGAGAGAGAGAGAGACAGAGAGAGACAGAGAGAGAGACAGAGAGAGAGAGACAGAGAGAGAGAGACAGAGAGAGAGAGAGAGAGAGAGAGAGAGAGAGAGAGAGAGAGAGAGAGAGAGAGAGAGAGAGAGAGAGAGAGAGAGACAGAGAGAGAGAGACAGAGAGAGAGAGAGAGAGAGAGAGAGAGAGAGAGACAGAGAGAGAGAGAGAGAGAGAGAGAGAGAGAGAGAGAGAGAGAGAGAGAGAGAGAGAGAGAGAGAGAGAGACAGAGGGGGTGTAAAACTAAAGGAATTTCTGAAAAGTGACGTCATGAACACGGATGGGACGCACAGAGGACAGGTGTGGAGCAGGCCAGAGGGACGCCTGTCAGTGTGTGTGTGTGTGTGTGTGTGTGTGTGTGTGTGCGTGTGTGCATATGTCCTACCAGCTCTCTCCTCTTGCTGTCCTCTGTGGATTCATCAGTGAGCTGAGCAAATACCTCTGTCAGAAACTTCTCGTCCTCCTGAAACACACACACACACACACACACACACACACACACACACACACACACACACACACACACACACACACACACACACACAAACACAAACTCATAGAAAAGGAGTAAGAATTTAGATCCTGCCAATGTCAATTTCTGTTTGCCTCAAGAAGAGCAGTTGCTTATGTGTAAAACAAAGTAGCGCCATCCTATGCTGACTGAATAAGAGAAGTAAGGTCTACAGAGACTAATGTAAAACTCAATAAGGGATTCCTTTATTATGAGGGATAGGATAACTCTTTTTTTAGTTTTAACATGACAAGCTGCTAGATTGTTTAATACTGGTCCAAGGTTTACAAGCTTTACAAGCTATTGAGCATCACCGATCAGCTAGTTGCAAGCTACCAGGTTCCAAAAACAACCTTGACCAACCTAATATAACATGTAATTAGCTGATATGTTGTCATTTTAAGAGCTTAATTACAACAGACAAGCAACAAACCAGCTCTCATTTATTCACAGAAAGTGGCTGTCATGACTAACTTGACCATAGCAACATTATAAAAACATCACAATCCCAGCTTGACCGCTCAACATGACTAGCCAAAATCTGGTTTGATGTTGGTCTACCAGCTCACAAAAAGCCATCTCAGACAAGCGAAAAACCAGCTATTACAATATATTTATATCATGCATAATGTGGCTGTTATGGACTGATGGTTTTATATATATATATATATATATATATATATATATATATATATATATATATATATATATATATATATATATATATATATATA